GGTTTCAAATCCCCGGTTGTACGTGGCAAGGAGAAGGGTCGCCTGTCCAACCTCGTGCGTTTTCTCCGGGTCCTCCGACTGCTAAAGACCCCTACGCGCAAGCGAATTATGTAAATAAAATTAAAAACCATATGTTAGTCCCGAAATGACCTAGTTTGTGTCGAGTGGACGTTAAACCCCATTTCTCTCTCTCTCCCGAGGTGGAAACCTTTTCTCCACTGTGGTAAATCACATGTTTCCACCGTGGAGAGATATTTGACCAAATACGTAATATGCATGTATTTTCTTACCTTCTTGTAGCACAAACATGTGCCAGATGTAACCATGCACTCAGACCCATCTTTGTACAACGTACAAGACGTTGTACCTGAAGTGCAGTAACGAAATTTTCTGCATTCTGCGTCTTCAGTACAGGTTACAGCACAATCCACTGTGTCACCAACAACAACGTCGTCTCCTATTGTTTGAGACGGGTCACAAGTTTTAAAAATCCTATCAATACGAGTAAAAGTTGCATGTTGGAAACTTTCTACCGAGTACAGGATTGCCACATAAGACCATACCAACCACAACATTTTAAAAAAAAAAAAATAATTGTAGTTTCTGTATAAATTCTTCAAAAAATAAATTCAAAAATAATATAAATACTCCGATCTGGTAATACCGATACCAGTGTAATCTGAAAACCAAAATACCAAAGAGGGATTTGTTATTATAGTTAGCTTTTATAGCAGATGTCTTAATTGCGGCTATTGAATTTTACTATTGTTCCCGAATTCATACAATATAGCGTGTATTACGAATAAAGTAGAAAGTATACTTCCCTAATAATTATTAATGGTATAATAAGATGTTAATGGATAACAAATATTAACTAAAAGCTTTATAAAATGAAAGGACCTTCAAACACAGAAATACTCAGAACATTCAAGCTTTAAATTATTGAAATCAATAGTCGGCTAATTACATTGATCAATAAAAGAGGCACGAAGCAAGACATATTTCTATACATTTATTTTATTCGTCCATAATTATTATACACTGGTAACGACGTGCCAGTACACTTTATTTTTTTGGAGCAACTGATTGAAAAGAGGTTTTATGGGTTCACAAAGATCATATTTTTGTACCTTTTATTCTGTGATCTTATGTAATAGGTAGTAACACAGCCGCGTGTTACTCTGTCTGAAAAACCGGCACCAAAAAGAATAGTAAGGTCCTTTGTCACGGCCGATAACTCTTTGCTTCACGTTCTGCTCCAATTGTTGACTCAAAATGGACATTCCAACGGATCAGTATGACTTCAGTATAACTCACTTTATGATATAATTCTAATCCGTACTGCATTACCAAAAAAGTGCATTTTAAGAATTCTGCAGTTAAAAAGGAAAAAGACCATGACTTGGATCCGCCTCTGATAGGTATAAATTACAGAAATATTCCACATAAAAGTATCAACACAGAATTTAGATCTGATAATGGTCCAATTTAACGAGAGCACCGCTAACGCTGCAATATACGTCCACATTCCAGCTTTGATCGATATGGTACTTTTTAAATTGAAGAGAATGAAATATGAAATGGCTGTAATGTGATCAGAGGCAAAGAAGGCTAGGCGTTGGGTTTGTTTTTCCAAATTTACAGACAAAGTACTAACAAAAAAGTGGGTGTGACACTGCCCCAAGAGGTCGGGGCAAGCCTCAAAATAAATAGTCGCTGTCTTTACGGTATAAGAAATAAATAAGTTCTAAGATGATCCATTCAGAATTGCAGCCTGTAGACGATAAATACAAAAAATGGGTGTGGCTCAGCCCGTAGGGGTTGGATATGGAACAATGTAAATAGTTACCACCCTGTTATTGAAATGACAACATCAATAGTTGCCGTCCTTAGGGTATAAGGAATACGTATACCAAGTTCCAAGATAATCCATTCAGAATTGTGGCCTTCGGGCGCTAAAAGCAAAAATTTGGCATGGCACTGTCCCTGGGGCTCGGGGCATTCACCAAAATCAATAGTTGACGCCCTTAGGCTATAAGGCATACATATGCCAAGTACCAAGTTGATCCATTCAGAATTCCTGCCTGTAAACGATAAACACAAAAATTGGGAGTGGCTCTGCCTCTGGTAGTCGGGACATGCAGTTGCCGTCCTTAGGCTATAAGGAATACACATCCCAAGTTCAAAGACTATCCATTAAGAATCGTGGCCTGTAGGCAACTCACAGAGACTCAAAGAAAAGATGGGTGTGGCTCTGGCCCGGGGGGTTGTGCAATCACAAAAAAACAACAGGGGGCATCCTTAGGGTATAAGGAATAGGTATGCAAATTTTCAAAATAGGTATGTTAAGAATTGCGGCCAGTAGGCACACAAATATTGGGCGTGTCTCTGTCCAAGGGGGTCGGGCATACACAAAAAATAATAGAGGTCAGCCTTAGGGTATAAGGAATGAGTATAAAAAAAGTTTTCAAGAAGATCGATTAAGCATTGCAGGCTGTAAGTGACATACAGACACACAAAAAGAAAATGGGCGTGGCTCTGTTCCCGGGGGGGGGGGGGGGGGGGGATTCACCACAAACAATAGGGATGTTCCTTAGGATAAAAGAATAAGTATGCAAAGTTTCAAGGTGATACGTTAAAGGGACAATAACACTCTTGCTGGCTTGACAGCTTTACAAAATAAAAAATAGCCTAGATGTGTTAGTGTCCTACCTGTTGCGTAAATTATCCATTAAATCCTATTTTACTTGTACAGAGGGTTCAAATCATTTAGTTGAATTTTTCGAATTTTTTAAATTAGGTGTGTTAAGATGAAATTTGTATCATCAATTAATTGGAATATTGAAAAATAGTGCAATTTATTGACCAGAATAAAGATTTTGAACATATTATTCAGTTACAACAAGAGTGGTATTGAGCCTTTAAGAAATGTCGACTGTAGATGAAGAGAGAGAGAGAGAGAGAGAGAGAGAGAGAGAGGTGGGGTTTAAAGTCCACTAGACACAAACTAGGTCATTTCGGGACTAATATTTTTTTTTTTTTAATTTTTATTTCAATAATTCGCTTGCGCGTAGGGGTCTTTAGCAGTGGAAGGAAACCGGAGGACCCGGAGAAAACACACTAGGTCTGTAGATGACAAACAAATAAATACAAGAAATGGGCGTGGTTTTGCCACTGGGGGTCGGGCATGCACCAAAAACAATAGGGATCATCCTTAGGGTATAAGGAATTCATATGAATATTTTTCAAGACCATCAATTAAGAATTGTGGCCTGTAGGCGACACACAGACACACAAAAATAAATTGGGCGTGGCTCTGCCCCTGGGGGTTGGGCATGCACCCCAAACGATTGGGATGTTCCTTAGGGTACAAAGAATAAGTATGCAAAGGTTCGAGATGATACCTTAAGAAATTCGGCCTGTGGACGACAAACACATACAAGAAATCGGCGTGGCTCTGTCCCTGTGGATCGGGCATGCACCAAAAACAATAGGGATCATCCTTAGGGTATAAGGAATAAGTATGTAAAAATTCAAGATGATCACTTAAAAATTGTGGCCTGTAGGCGACACACAAAAAGAAAATGGGCGTGGGTCTGCCCCTGGGATTTGGGCATGCACCCCAAACGATGAGGATACTTAGGGTACAAAGAATAAGTATGCAAAGTTTCAAGATGATATGTTAAGAAAATGCGGCCTGTAGACAACAAACAAATACCAAAAATGGGCGTGGCTCTGCCCCTGGGAGGCGGGCATGCACCAAAAACAATAGGAATCATCCTTAGGGTATAAAAAATAAGTATGTAAAATTTCAAGATGATCACTTAAGAATTGTGGCCTGTAGGCGACACACCCACACGCACACAGACAGGAGCGATGGCAATATATGTCCACATGAATGGGGAGGTATAAAAATGATGAAATAAATCTGCTTTATAATTAGTTAGATTTGTACAGTATCACAGACACTATAGCATGTATTACGAATTAAGTAGAAAGTATACTTCCTTAATAATTATTAATGGTATAATAAGATGTTAATGGATAACAAATATTAACTAAAAGCTTTATAAAATGAAAGGACCTTCAAACAAAGAAATACTCAGAACATTCAAGCTTTAAATTATTGAAATCAACAGTCGGCAAATTACAGTGATCAATAAAAGAGGCACGAAGCAAGCCATTTATTTTAGTCGTCCATAATTATACGTTTTATGGGTTCACAAAGATCATATTTTTGTACTTTTTATTCTGTGAGCTTATGTAAGAGCTAATATATGTAAGAGCGTGTTACTCTGTCTGAAAAATGGCACCAAAAAGAATAGGTAGTAATGTCCTTCGTCACGGCCGATAACTCTTTGCTTCACATTGTGCTTCAATGCTTCTGAAAACGCTACATACTGTTCCAAGGAACTGCAAATGATAACTCTTTGCTTCACATTGTGCTTCAATGCTTCTGAAAACGCTACATACTGTTCCAAGGAACTGCAAATGATTTTAATTAGATTCTGGCTCACTGGTTTCTTTCATATTCATGATTTTTGATTATTTGATTGGTTAAATTATTTCAGAAATATGCATGGTATGCATGCCTTTTACGGAGATGGAGAGAGACTGACTAACTAAAGTACTAATAAATCTTCTACTTAGCACTTTGGTAAGAAATACAAATATCACACTATTGTATCTCAAGAAAAAGTAGACTTGTACATAGTATCTATTATTTAGAAAAAATATTGTTTCTGGTAATTATCCACACTATCATTCTTAATGCAGCACTAGAATGATACAAATTTATAAACAGTGTTGATTCAGGGTACTGTGGACAAGTCCCCCACCAACTGAGGCTTTGTCCCTGCTTCCAGGTAGCATTGGTGTCACCAAGGACCAATTCCACTTTCCCTCAAGGTCTTACTGAGCGATATAATTCTAATCCGTACTGCATTACCAAAAAAGTGCATTTTAAGAATTCTACAGATAAAAAGGAAAAAGCTTATGACTAATTAATAAATAGTTTTAATAACTGAATAGGTATAAATTACAGACATATTTCACATAAATGTAACAACACAGAATTTAGATCTGATAATGGTTCAATTTAAAAATGATGAAATAAATCTGCTTTATATTTAGCTAGATTTGTACAGTATCACAGACAATATATATATATAACAATATAAAAAACAAACTTTTATATAAAACAAATATACAACATAATATACTCTTACTTACAGGGTCCGATTTCTTCCTAAAATATTCAAGCCATATCAAGTTTTAACACTCCAAAACAAAATTAATTGGTCCAAAATTATCAATTTAATAATGTGCAAAATAATTTTGATTAACCCTTCGTTTTTCTTATCTAATTTGAAGATAATAATATAGACAGTTGTAATAAATGATTATGTTTCTTCTTCTGTGGGGACGCTACGAGTGCTTAAAGCTATAGTGACTTTACGTAATGCTGGTTGAGCATGAGGATATTCTTGATTTAATCTATCAACAATAGCATTAAGAGTATGAAGTCGGTCTACTTGTTTTTCATATTCCACATTCAAACTGGTCTCGGACTTACACATCATAGTATATTTGCCATCTTTAGCTTGATGGTAGTATTTGGTTTTCTGTTGGCGAGACAACAAATCTGTCATATTCTGAAAGATAAAAAAATTAAACAGATTTTGAGAATGTTCTAAATTTAATTAAATCTAATTTTAATAACCTATTTAAATGTAAAATATTTATTGTATTAGGAAAAGAAATTTTACCAATTCAAACTTTAATCAAGACATGTTTTTTACTTAAAAGCATACACAAAAGTTAGTTAATATTTTGTTACAAGTTTCACCTTTATGAATATTTTGCCATAAATTTTACTAAATATCTTGTAATAAATTTTATCAAATATCTTGTAATAAATTCTATTATATAACTTTTGTATATTTCGTTTTAAATTATAAATTTTTAAAATCTGTACAGATTTAATGCAATAGGATAATTTACCCAATAAAAATGTCTATATTTCCTTGCTTAATTTAGTACTTGAAATTATTTGTTTTAAAATGGTACCATTAAGGAACTTTACATATTAAAATATGTATGCAGATGTATTTAGTCCTAAAATATATAATCTCTATTTTATTTTTTTATAACGTTTTTTTTTTTCAAAGTTTTATAACTTGCAAAATATATTCTTAATTTTCATAAACTAAATAAATTTACCTATTTCATATTTATTAATTACTTTCTCAAAATTGAATTTGTAAAATGATCATTTTTCTAGTTTTTTTATGATTAACATTAACAATGGTAAAGTAATATTAAGTTTCAAACATTAAACATGCATTATGCAAGAGCAAGATCTGCTTATTACAAGTCTTTCTTTAGGCCTGAAATGTTATCTAAATTATCAATTAGACATTAATTAACTTATCCAGACCATAATAAACTCTCGATGTCAAGGCTAGCCTTCGATGTTGGCTTGATTAGATTCCTATTTGCCGCTTAACGGCCATTGATAATTAAATCAAAACAGTGGATAATCGAGACTATGCTGTTTATATTAATGATTTTAGTAATGATGACCGAGACTATGCAAAAATTTCACCCGCTTCGTTCTCGGCTCATAGTGGATCAATTTGACTGAAATTTTCAGCAAATTACCTTTACACTATCTAGTTTTTAACTATTATAGCGAGAACTGCCATCTCTTTATCTTATCTCCCATAATGTATCTTTAAAATTGTTATATTTTGTAAAAATAGATAATAATTACCCTTTGTTTCATTTCTGCCAGTCTTTCTATATCACCATCCATACTATCAGCTGAACCTTGTAGTTGTTGACAGTTAAGTTGTTTATCCTCCAGTTGATGACTCAATATCTGTTGATGTTGATGAAGTTGTCTAATTTCGTCCTCACAGGCATTTGCATCCTAATGTAGGAATGATAAAGAGAATAATATAGTATATAAGAGATTTAGAAATAAATAACAAGTGGATAAGGCAGAACACTACCTAAGAATTTCACACTGATAACAGAAACTTACCATTTAGTAAAATATTAGAAAATGCTGTCCCAAATCAAGATTTGATAATCTGAGCATAAAATGTTAATTGGTTGCCATGGAAATGGTGGCCATGTTGGATTTTTTTTTATATATTCACAGTGGGTATGTTAGGAAATCAAAACCTTTACCAATTTTATTGAAACAAACTATTTGTAATTTGGAATAACATATATAGGCCTAGACATTAAAGACACATTATGTAAGATTTAGATAAAGAACTAGCCATTCTTGCGATAATAGTTCGAAAATAAATAATGTAAAATGAATTATTTGAAAATTTCATTCAAATTACTCTATTGTGAACGAAAATATTAGCCTTTGAAGGTTAGACAAGACGTGTGCAATAATTTTAACCACCGCACTGGTTGTTCGAAGCTAAGTCTCGCTCCTCCATTTTTAGCTTAAATCAAAATATGGCTGAACTGTTCTAATATATTTAATATTTGAGAAATTTGATGGCATCAAGAGTTGATTATGGCCTGGATAAGTTAATTAATGTCTAATTAATAATTTAGATAACAGTTTTGAATTACCTATATAAATCACTATATATTATATATTATTGAAATTCAGCAAATTTTGACATTATTGGACAATTTTAGCTGATATCAAAATTTGACAGATCGATCTATACAGATTGTTTTATAAGGTCACTAGTGTCCTGCTTTGAATAGAAGATCAAAAAATATTGTCCACTTGACACAAACTAGGTCGTTTCAAGACTAACATAATATAGTTCAATTTTATTTCAAAAATTTGCATGCACTTAGGGGTATATAGTGATGGAATGAAACCGGAGAAAAGCCATGAAGTTCGGTAGGCTATCCTACTCTTTATCACATACCTTGGAATCAAACCATGCCACATGACTCAAACACCCAACCCCACTTATTCAAGAAGCCACCAAACAAAACTTTATTTTTTGGATACAATACCTGTATAGTTGTCTTAATTTTTTTCCTGGTTTCTGCCATCTGACGTTCAAATGTTCCTTTAGTTAGTGGTTTTGATTTCATTTTAGTTTGAGCATCTCCTCTTGTTACTATGGTATCACGCCTGTTGAACAGAAAAGATTAAATTGAAATGGCGAATTTTAAATTTTCATTAGATTACGGGCTGTAAAATATGTTTACAAGAAAATTACTTGAAAATTACTTAGATTTTGATCTAAAAATTAACCAAAAATGAGGCTTCTTTAGCCACCATTTTTACATACCTAGAAACAGCCTTTTCCATTTCCTGTATCATTTTTTCTTGTTGCTTCATTAGTTGTGAGTATCGAACCTGCATGCGATGTATTTCAGATTTCATAGCTGCCACCTCACCCTGACCGACCTCTGAATCGACTGCTGCTCGAGTTTCTCTAGCTAGCTGTGTTTTCTTCTCCCATAACATAATCTGACGTCTGAGATAATACAAAGAAAAATTATTGATGATTGAGAATAAAATTTGATGGTATCAATATATCAGCTGTTATTAGTAGGACAAATGGTCCAACATGTATGCTTTAGATCATCAGGTCTGTCACTGAGTCAAGTGGCCAACCTGTTATCACTTAACAGCTTGTAAGTCCAAGGAGTATCTTCGCCTGTCCAACCTCATTGGATTTTTAAGGGTACTCCGATTTCCTCCCAAATCACCTAGTTGAGTTCTCTGTATAGTTAGTAGGCCAAATTAGCAATGGGACTTCCTTATAAACAGCTGTTCTTCTTTTGTAGTTTGACATAAAACTATAACAAAAACTTGAAAAGCATATGAAGAGTAGAGAACTTACTCTGCCTCTACCAGACTATTGAGTAATCTTTCCTTCTCTTCTTTAATGGCATCAAGGCTGTCTTGCAGTTTTATAGATTCATTTTCTGCTTCCTAAAGGAAAAGAATCTAAATTATTATAAAAATAAATTTATAAAAAAGGTATATAATACAGGATTAATATTATCAAAGCAAAACAGACATTTCCAAAGTTTGTTCTATAAAGTGTGTCAGTTAGCATCAAATGTTTTTTATGGCGCTAAGTAAACAAACAGAAAAACAAAAACTTATATATCCATTTACTGTCAACTTATTTTGAAATAATAGAGAGAGAGACAGAGAGAGAGTAAGAGGGAGAGAGAGAGAGTTGGGGTTTAACCTCCACCTGACACAAACTAGGTAATTTCAGGATTAAAATATGGTTCGTTTTTAGCAGTGCGAGAGACCCGGAGAAAACCCATGAGGTTAGACAGGTGACCCTACTCCTTGTCACATTCAAGAGTGGAACTGTAACCAAGCCACTTGACTCAATGACAGACCTTTTGTTAAACCATTCAGCCACCCCCCCCCCCCTTTTGACAATAACAACTTTATTTTAAGAACTCACTCTTAGTTTAGACAGGAATTCACTCTCTTGTAATATATTAGTTTGTTCTATACTATCTGCTGCACCCTTTTGTTTAAATAACAAAGTATTCAGTTTTAACATGTCATTCTGCATGAGTTTTATATTCCTCTCAATATCATACTGTTCACGGTTATGTTGATCTATATGCTCTGTAAACAAATAAAATCAAATCATTACATAAATAAATAACACAGCATTGCAAGGCAACAGATGTATGTCCACACCAGCATTGACGTGCAATTTAAATTTTCAAACTTACAATCTGGTTAAAACACAGATCCTATTTCTTTTCGTTTTTATAGTTCAAAATTTTGTTTTACTTGTCTTTACTACACTTGGATTTGGAAGGAAGAGTTGTTATTTAACTCGTGTTCTGAATGGTGTCAGGGATAAGCCAATGAAACGGTCTGTTACGGCGAGCTTTAGGCGTGTTTTTCACAGAACTATGGGTAATCCACTAGTAACATCAATGCTGATTGGTTAATCATAGGGTCATAATTCGGTCTTTTGACCCCTGACGTGACCTATCGCTATAACTTGTCAGATCTTCATGTAGTGTAGGCCATCAAAAGTATAAAAAAACGAAACGAAATATAGATCTGTATTTTAATCAGATTGTCAAACTTAATAACCCAAGTTGATTGGAAAGTCTGAATTTTGATAATGTTCCTTAGGATTAGCCCAACAATACAAACAAGTTTGTACAAGAAATCTCAAAAACAAGAGCGAAACAGTACACTTCCACATGAAGTATGTCCATATACAAATGGGTTTTTAACTGAATAATATTTATCTTTACCATTGCAATAATTCTGAGTTTAAACAAATTGATAAGAGTTCAACAAATTTTTTGTGAATGAAATGACCTTAAAGATGCATTTTGAACCATTTAAAGAGCCGTCTGGTCTTCCTATAATAGTTAAAAAATGGGTAATGAGAAATTACTTTATTCTGAGCAAAGTTATGAGTGTTTGAAGTTTTGACAAGATATAGCATAAATAATCTTGATTGTCAAGTACCATTGCTACAACAATAAAAGTAGCAAGTATCCATTTCAACATTAAATTGTTAAATATCATGACTATTGATGCTCTAGAGTGTCGATTATTGGCTTGTCATGTGAATAAATGTCTAAATAATAATTTATAATCCAAATAGTGTGCATCTAAACACAGAGTGCTCGATGAATAAATCCAGAGCAAATATAAATAATTAAAAATAGCTTTTGCATAATGCATCTTTAGAGTAGGTGGATGTTATGACTTTTATTTACTAAATAACAATTGTATGTATGCTTTCAACAATTAAAATTTGTTACAATTGCGAATAAGAAGCTTACTTCTACACACTTACTTTCAGTTCTGATTTTTTTCTGTGAAAGAATGGTGATTTGTTTTTTAAGTTGAATAACATCCTGTGATTGTTGTGATTTTTCTCCAAGAAGTTTAACCAATTCGCTTTCTTGTCGGAGCCATTGCTGTTGTAGTTCTGCTGTTGACTGTGACTCGGCATCAATTGACTTAGACAGAGAATTGATCTGAATCTCCAATGGACCAAGTTCCACTCCCTGAAATAGACAAATAAAATCATCAAATACACAGATCATTTTCTAAGGTAAAGATAAGAAAACTATTTGATTAACTGTGGATCAAGAAATGATTATGTGATGCAAAATTGCCCATAGATAGACAAGACAATTCATTAGAATTTTCCTAACAATATATTTTGAGCGACCATTTAAAGGAATTAAATACAGTTGATTTCCTTGTTTATTGTGGCTTAATCTAGTTCAGTATTTACTGATATTGCATTTTTAGCCAGATTAACTGTAGTTATTTACATCTGGACATTTACTTTTTAATGATAGTAATATTGAAATATCTATAAAAGAGAAAAACCCATAATAAATTAGGTGTTTGCAATGTCTCTTTAAGGTAGAATTATATACAATGTAGATATCAAGTCATTTTTATGCGGCCACATTTCAAACTTTACTGATTCTGTCCCTGAAACCTTGTAAACAGTCTACTGATCAGAATTTTGAGAAAATATTTTCAACTTGATGATAAACGCTATGTTTTATTTAAACATTTGTTGTAAAAAACAAAACAAAAAAAAACAAGTGAAGGGAAAATTCTTTATTGAATGTTCTCATCAAATTAAAAAGATAAAGACTAGTTGTTGAATTGTATCTTAAAAACCGTATTAAACTTACCCCTGCTGAACTGATCATATGTTCTAATCTCTTATTATACTGATCAATCAAATTCTGTTTTCGTTCAATCAGAGCATTTCGTTTGGTTATTTCATTATTACTACGAGAAATTATATCATTCCTTGCAGCAATGTCATCATCCAGTCTTACAAGGACTTTCTTGAGGCGTTCTGTTCTAGCTTTAATATTAGATGCTTCCAGTACATCTTTGGCAATATGATTTTCTACTTCTGCCATTTGCGTTTCCTGTCATATAAAAATATAGAAAATTGAATCATTAAAATATAACAAAAACATCTGTTTTTTTCATAAAAACCAAATTAATCTATGAAGAAACAAAAGTCACATCAGGAGTGCGTATGGGTTGGAATTGAAATTTCGAAAACTACAGTTGCAACACTTGAAACATACATCATAATGGGTCCTTTAAGTATCAATTAGAGTAAACAAGTGAAATCAGGTTGTATGTGATGTGTAATGCAAATAACATGATTAATATTTATATTTTACTTTATGTTATTGTTAACAGATCTATAATACTTACCAAATGTTTAGTGGTATCTCTCATTTTATTTGTTAATTTTTTAGAATATTGAGAAGCTTTATCCATAGTAAGTTGTGTTCTCATTCTTTCCATGATTTCATCTTCTAATTTAACTTTTTCTAAATATTCTTTCTCTATCTGTTGTCTTAAGGCATTTAATTCGTTCATTCTTAAAGTCTTATCCTGAAATAGAAAATTAAAATGGGGTTAGCTCAATGAAACAAATTAATTATAAGTGGGGAAAAATTTAGAAATGGAATAAAAGATTTCTGTAAATATTATCCTGATATCATTGCCACATAAACATCCTACTCTCCTGCACCGACTGGGATAATCAAGACAGGCAAACTCCATGCAGTGTCATCCTATGAGGCAAATTTTGCCCGGACAGCAGAGCTATGACCTACTCTTATCACGAATTCCAACTGTCAAAGGTTCTTTTATGTGCATGCTAACGCGCACAGAGTACTTTGTTATTTCATCCATCTGAATGACTAGCCACTGTTCCTAGCTAGGCCGTCTGTCCTACACCACTAACAAGAGGGAAACCATGTCAGAAAATCCCAGGGAACTTTCTAGGACAGCACCAGGATCGAACCTGGACCTCCTTACACACTGAGCCACAGAAAACATAAAGCTGATGAAAACCAAGATTATAATACAAATTAGAATTTATGTGAAAAAGATTTTCAATTATTTCTGTATCATTATCAAAATGATAAGCAATGTATTAACTAAATTGTCTTTAAACTTACAGTCATAGCTCTATGTAAAGCCTGTTCTGTTTCATGTAACATACGAGTGTAAGTGGTATATTCGGATTTCAAGGCATCATGTTTAGCTTGACATATGTTTAATTGTTTTCTAACTGTTTCAATATCTCGTTCTGTTTTAGCTAATATCATACACAGTTTCTCATTCTGTTCTTGTTCTTTTGAAATGTTTTTCTTAAAGCCATCAATTTCTGTTTCTAACGATAAAATCTTCTGATGTTGTTGACTGCAAATAAAAAATATTAAATAAAGTGAATTTTTTTATTGTTCAGATTTACTAACAGTTCTTTTTACCATAGCTATAAAATGAATAAATGGTTAAATATTTCACAAACTAATCATTTTTACCTTAGTGCCTCTTGCATGGCTGAATGAGCTTCATCTCTTCTTCTCATACCAATAAGACTGCTGTTCCATTGTTGAAAAAGTTGTTTCTTTTCAAAATCTATTACCTGTGGAGAATAATTGAGAAATATAGTGTTATTAATTTTAAACCTCAAGTAATATATCTACACAATAATAATACATCTACACAAATAATTTGTGTTTTTTAAATTTTTTATTTTTTTTTTACGATAATAAAAAGGGAAATTGATCAATTATTGAAATAATATTAACTAACCTCAATTTCCATATAAGCTTCAGTTAAGGCTTCCTTGGCTGCTTTAGTTTCTTCTGATTGAGCTGTTATCTGAGCTTCATACATGGCCATTTCTTCTTTTAATTTATCAACTCGCTCAACTAATCTATCAACATACAAATCCTATAAAACAAAATTATATACATCAAATTTACATTTCACAATACAGAACGACAGATAACTATGTAAATTAATTTAATCTTTCCTCATCTATATGTTAAGTTATCACTGGAATTGTTTTCTATGCATTGCCTTGCATCCAGACTAGACTTTTTTTTTATCTTAACGAATGTTGCTTAATTGAATGAAAAGCTTGGACTTACTTGTCTCTGTTTTTCAATCTCAGCTTTAGAAACTTCAGATTCAGCCTTTTCTGCTGCTCTTCTCATCACATTAATATCAGATCGTACGTCCTCTTTAGCATTTTTCATATAGAATAATCGTAGAGCTAAATTTTCCACTTCTGCTTGTAGCTCTGATGCTAAAATATGAATTTAATAAAGTTTTAAAATATTACATTTTATAAAATAATTTATGTGTACTTAAAACTTCACCATCATATTAAAGGCAATACATAAACAGAGAAATTTAAACTTTCAATTTCTAGTTTGATAACTGAATATATATATTAATTCTTTATATATCAACACAAATTATTATAATCACTATTTCCACATTCAGCTCAAATAGATTATTCAAATAGATTATGTTTGACAAAGTATCATTTATCATACATTTTTTCTTTTCTTTGTTGACTGTAATCTGGGTATTTTTATACATATTTCTAATTTCATTCAATTCTTGTTCATTTTTCAATCGTTCTTGGTTTATTGTTGCAAAATCATCATGGTTCCTCTCCAAGATCATTTGATATCTTGCTAATTCTTGCTGGACTCCATATAATTCCACACCCAAATCTTCACGATTTCTACGTTTAGTCTTCAATGATTCTTCCTAAAATATTTATTTAGATATATCTTTATCAAAATTTTAAATATATCACCAACTATCACGCTTTTGAAAATGTTTAAAATACCTGTACATGTTTGTTTATGCTGTGTTGTTTGTTTTGTCTACATTTACATGAATTGTATATTACAACATGAGTTTTATTTATAAATTGTTTCTCATAAATAACTAACAGTATAATCAATTAAAACCGTATTTAATAATATCCAGTGAATACTTACCAGCTCTCTTAGTTCTAATGTTACGGTTTCATTCTGTTTCTCTAAATGTTTTTTCAATGCATTTTGGAATCTCCTCATCAAGGGCTGTAAATGGGTTAAAAAGAATAATAGAAAAATAAATCAAATGAACAGTTTGCACCATTTTATTAGTTAATGTAGATAAACATAATCATTTAAACATCTGTCTACAAAACATTTCTGAGTTAAAATACCAGCTTAAAAATACCAGTTGTTATATTAAAACTGCTGATGATCATTTGAGGGATTCTGAATTGTTTACAAACTATAATATAATGGAAGTTGAATCTATTATAAAAGGAATATCAGTTCAAAAATGATTCAGTTCTGTTCAGGGTATTAACAAATAGACAATGAACTGAAAATTTTGCTACATTCTGCAGACAATATAAACCAGCCAACGCCATCTTTAAATTTTGGGTAAAATCTTTCGATGGACATCTTTTTATTTCGAATGAAGTGTAATTTAGCATAGATTAGGATATTGTCCAAAAGATGCTCGGCCTGGATTGGCTACTTTAAAGCAAAACTGAATTAATGCAAAATAAACAGATAAGTTAAAAATCTTACATGATCTGGGTCTAATACAACCAAATCTGCTTCATTATCACTGTCTTCATCACTATATCCTGTTACTTCTCTGTTATAATCATCTCCATCACTATCCCCTCCATCTCCATCACTATCCCCTCCATCTCCTCCTCCTGGAGGACCTGCAGGAGGTTGTCTTGATACATCAGTTTCACCAACATATTCATTCTCATCGTAACCTCCATCATCTATAATAGATTTTAAATAATATTTATCTTGTTAACTAATTTTGAAAGTTTGTATTTTGGATTGTGATCTTTCTAGAACACACATTGAACTATAAGGAATAGACCATTTTATGGTTTCTGGCTCTTCAGTGAATGACGCAGAGAAGTGCATCTGTAACTCTTTTTTATATGTCCTACATCAATAGCCATTTTTCTATGGTTACATGTCCACTGCTAGAGAAGAGAATCTTTCCTGAACATTGGGTTTCCACCTTCTCTTCTTTGAACCCAACTATCATGGAGTCTTTATTTTATGTGTAATACCAATTTGTAAATGGTACATCACTTTTAACCATTCAATCCTAACGTCTAGACACTTTGCTTAGAAACAGGGCCTGAAAAATTCTTTCAAGATTCTTCTTGGTTTATGTCCGGTACATTTTAGTTGCGAGATCAGTGCCCATACACACTATCCGCCAAAAACATTTGAGTAACCCCTGCCTCCCCTTGATACCAGTACAAAATTCAGTAACTGTGATATAGTCAATTTATTTACAAACAGGATTTAGTAAATGGATTGAAGAAAACACTTATTACCGATTAGAAAAGTGCTTCAAAGAGTTCAATGTTCAATCTTATTGAACTTTATGTTCTGAAAAAATAAAACTATTTTGTAAATCTGTAGGACTCACCTGTTGGCATCAAAGCCATTTCAGTATTTTCTTGTGTCTCCTCCCTTTTATCTACAAAACATATTACCAGTACTTTAAATGACAATTCTTCAACATATATACAAAAGAAACCTACACTAAGTCTTTCATCATGTTTTATAAGCCTACAGTAAAGTATTATTTAACTATACCTTTGATATCTGGTGTTCCTTTTCGTGCAGATTCACCATTTACAGCAGACGTAGGCCTTTTAACTGCTGATCCTGGGCGACTTCCAGATTTTACTGCTGACACTGGTCTAGTTGCTGATGGTGGTCTTTCTTCTGCAGAGGATGGGACAACAATTGCAATATCTTTTGCTGATGGTGACCTTTGATCTTCAGCTGATGGTGATTTAGAAGCTGATGGTGATTTAGCTACTTTTGCAGATGTTGGTCTTGAGGTTTTTGATGATGGTGGCCTAGAGCTTTTACCAGATGTTGGTCTTGATTCTTTCGCTGATGGGGGCCTTCCTTTAGCCGATGCTGGTCTTGAACCACTGATAGACAATGGATTATCTTCTGTTTCCTTTTCAGCTGCTACTGGTGATGTCTTTTCACCTGCAGTTGACGTTCGTGATGATGATCTTGCTGCTGATGGAGGACGTTCACCAGAAATTGAAAGTTGGTCTGCTACAGATGCTGGTCTAGATGGGGTTTTAATAGCAGCTGAACCTGGCCGAGAAGATTTCTGAACAGCAGAAGTAGGTCTTGATCCTGCTAAAGGTAGAATTATCATAAGTAAATATACTTTAAGTTTACAAAGTAAGAAAGCCTACAGCAAGACCCTACACGAAAATACAATGTTAAAATAGCAACAAACTTTTAAAGATAGACAACAACCAGCAACAATGTCTTCCATGCCAAGAGCATGTTTAAAAGTATCTGTTTTTACTCTCTGTTAAGCTTTAAATGTAAGAATGTAAACAGAAAAATAACATGTTTAAAATTTACAATCTGAAAATTAAGAAATTCTGTAAGGTTCTGCTTTCATAAATTCAAAGGGTAGAAAATGTGAACGTAATTCGTCGTATGGGTAACCTATTATTTAAAACACATTTAAAAAATTACAATCCAAAAATTTTGAAATTTGATAAGCGTCTTATGTAAACTGAGCAATCTCACAGAGTTTAAATAGGCTCCAGGATTTGCAGCTTAAAAAATTCTAAACTTTGATAGGGTTTCTCTTTAGCCCCAAATGAACAATATTGTCAAATTTAAAACTCTTATGTATAATGCCACCAAGATTTTAAAATTTTGGTATCGCATTCACAAAAGCAAAAATTTTGAACCTTTTAAATTTAAAACCAGCGGCTGCCAGGCAGGATCGCCCACATTTTCGAGAGATGGATAGAGAACAAGCTAAAAAGAAAGTGATTTTTCGTACAATCAGGGGCCATTTTAAGTTTCAACAAAATCGGATAAAAATTTGAGAACGAGGGGCGGCCATTTTGTCTGTCAGTTTTGGGCCGATTTTCACAAAATTCGAACTCAGCCGTCCTTAGGGTGTAACAGTGATATAATAATACGTTTTTTCAAATCGGATAAAAATTATGACCTCTATAGGGTCCACAAGCTAAAAACGCAATTTTTCCTACAATCAGGGGCCATAATTCAGGAAGTTACGGTCCGATATGCGCGAACATCGAAAGGAACCACAATCTTTGGGTTTTAAACTTACATTTCAAGTTTCAACAAAATCGGATAAAAATTGTTACCTCTATAGGGTCCACAACCTTCATATACCATATTTTTACGCTATTTGAGAACGAACGGCGGCCATTTTGTATGTGAGTTTTGGGCCGATTTTCACGAAATTCACTCAGCCAATCTTAGGGTTTAAAGGTGATATAATAATACGTTTTTTTAAATCGGATAAAAATTATGACTTCTATTGGGTCCACAAGCTAAAAACACGATTTTTCGTACAATCAGGGGCCATAATTCAGGAAGTTACGTTGCGATATGCACGAATATCGAAAGGAACCGAGATCTTTGGGTTATAATCATATATTTCAAGTTTAAACTAAATCGGATAAAAATTGTGACCTCTACAGTGTTCACAAGCTAAAAACGTGATTTTGCGTACAATCAGGGGCCATAATCCATGAAGTTACAGTCCGATACATGCCAATATCGAAAGGAACTGAGATCTTAGGGTGATAAACCTATATTTGAAGTTTCATTGAAATCGGATAAAAATTGTGACCTGTAGACTGTTCACAAACAATTGTGGACGGACAGGGGCGACGACAATATACGTCCACATGAAAATGTGGGCGTATAAAAACCCAACAAGAACTATATGTGGGTTACGATTTAATTTTTTATGACTTAAAGATGCATTGGGTATTAGATAAGGAGCTGACAGTTCTTGCTATAATAATTAAAAAACAGATAATGAAATGAAAATTTCTGTCATATTACTTCTCTCTGAACAGAGTTATCGACGTACGAAGAACGTCAGTGTAGTCTTGATTGTTATTGCTACTGTACGATAATAAACAAAGTCTTAATTAAGCTTATCCATTTTTTAATTCAATCATTAACCGGCAATCGTGTTTAAATCTGATGTTGTAGAGAGTTGATTATGGGCTTGGCATGTGAATAAATGTTTAATTAATGATTTATAATTATATAATATTTGAGGCCAAACAAGAGATCTGCATTAGATAGATTTAGCTCTTACATAATGAGAGAGAGAGAAATGAAAGTACTAGAGTAGGTTAAACAGATTATAAATAAACTTTCTGTACTGGTACCTGATTTTGGAGTCGGTGGTTTTGACTCTCGACCAGTTGTAGGTTCTGGTGATGCACTGCCTGTCTGTTCGGGATCCATATCTCCAGTATCAAACTGTTACAAAGACAGACATTCATTTTAATAAAATAAATTTCATCTTAATATCAGAGACAGACTATTCCAAATTTTTATATTTTAAGCAAACGTCGTCTTACATAAATGTCAATTTTGTAATTAATTTTACTGTAGTAAAAATTTTAGAAACTTAGCCTATTTGATTTCTATAAATCTTTACAGTGCAAAACTTAGCTTTAGTAGTGGCTTGTCTTGTTACAATTATCTTATTTTTAAGATGTTATGCATTAATAAAGAAAATGAGTTTGCCACTTGGAACAAAAGGCACCCAATGACAATCATAGCTAAAACCAAGCACATCAGTTACCAGTATCAGTAATGTCTCAGTATATCTCAACGTTTTTAGCTACGTTCTCGTAGTCGTAGCTAATCAAGTTTATGAAAATTATCTGAAAACATACTAACCTGTTGAAGGGCTTTTAATGTGACTTCTGACACAACTCCTGATAACCTAGAACTACTTGGACTATATAATAAAGATATGATAATGATAATAAATTAAAGGTATATCAATCAGGCAATATTAATATCATCATCACGTAGGCCTACGTCGTAGTACGTACAAAATCTAAGCGTGCTATAACCCATGAGCTTTAGGTCTTTTCCACAAATATCGGTAATCTAAAAGTTGAATTATTCCGTAATGCATAGCATTTGAATATAATAGTAAAATTATATCATAATTTCAATACAAATTAACGTCTTTTTAGGAGGATATATCTTTTTCTTACCGTGCTTCTTTGTCGGCCATGTTGTAAATACTTTGTTGCCAAGTGAACACGATAACTCTATCGACAGGTTAATAGTAAAAATTGACCAATCAAATTTAGAATTGGCCATGGGGACACGAATAGTTCACTTTTGGATTAGTTTACTTTGAAATTAATAATTTTGGGGGATTTTTGGGTTGTTTTTTTTTGTAAATAATGATGATGGGGGAAAATAATCAAAAATGTTTATCACAACCATAAATTCAACTATGTTATCTTATGAAATGAAAATGGTGTATTAATATACTTCAAACAGGTGTCGCAAATACTAAAGACAAGCTCTGGTTATTGCAAAGAGATACTCGGGTTAATATGCACGATATTGCTAAACAAGATAATTAGTACATTTTCATTTGACACCGATAGTGGGGAGTAATTGTTTAGTTATTATTTATTAAGTATGTTTGTGTGGTATATAACACATATTTCATTTATTTTTTTAGAATTGAATTTTAAGATAAATTCGTGTTTTTAATCTTTAAAGAGAGTTATGTCCCCTAGAAAAAATATTTTATAACCATTATTCTTTTGCGCGAAGGTCAGAACAGTCCACGATATCGTGTATCATCATCGATTTTGGTGTTTACAATTTTGACCGAGGCGAAGGGTTAGTGCGTATTATTTTTCAGCCCATTTGAACTATTTTGACAATGTTCAGCTCAGTTACTAGTTGGTTGGGCGTTGGCGAAAGACCAAAAGATGATTCTGACGTATCTGATGAAAATAAGGAGAATGTTAACCACCAGGAAATAAAGTCGAAAGAAACAGACCATAACAAAACGGAGATCCCTCAAAGTGAGTCGACGTCAGCTGACAAACCGACAAAAGAGACAACCAACAGTGAAAACAAGGAAAATGATGATAGTGAAGGACCAACAGCACAGCAGACTTTAGAAGATGTGTCAGCAAAGGCTCTAAATACTGCCAAGGAATGGGGGAGTAAGTAAAACGCCATGACACCATAGTCTTAATTAATTAAAGGAGCTAAATCGCTAACATTTGGGACCTAGAAATTGACAAAAGTGGGTCGCAACGCATATATTACTGTAATATAAATGTAATATGAATGTAATATGAATGATTTACATTCAATGGTTTCCGTTTTTACTCCAATTTCAAATCAGTTATGTTCGGCGAAATAAGCCAGCAGTCTCAATCGAATGCAAATTTCTAGCGCCTGGTTATTCCAGTCTACATACGCCGTTTGGTTTGGTGCATTATGTCTAGCCTCGTTCATCGAGTCTCTTGCTAGAACTGGGGCTGAAACGCATTATGGTACACGATTCGTGTACCAATGGCAAAATGTTTATTTTGTCTTAAATATTGGATATTAAAAGCTCATATTTTTCCGGGAAAGATCACAACATCAATGTTGATTTAATTTGACAAATAAATCGTGCTTTCAATGTTGAAGATTTTGGATGATATTGAGTTAGAGACTTAGCTACTTTAATTGTTAAAATGTTTATAATACTTCATTCTAAAAATAGGCCTGACACCATCTGTAGGGACCCATGGCCACCAGATAGAAAGGGGTCTAGCATAAATTCATAAAAGCTTTAATATTAATGAAATTGTCAATATCATAATATCACAATTAGGGCTGCATGTTTTGCATTCAGTTGTGTACTGTAAAATCATAAGAAAAGGAATGGTTGATCATTTCATCTATAAATAAAATGATAACAGCTACTCAAGCCATTTTAGAGAAGAAGCTATTAGTAATTAGGCACCTTGGTAAATTTCTAAGATTACCATCAATTATACCAAGGAATGTGTCTGTGACATCATTGGTGCCACAGACATATATCAATATGTCATTTGGTAGTAGATGCCATGGTACATGTAGTTCCAACAGTAGCGAATTACAATAGTCCAATAGAGGTGTAATAATGAATGCAATCACTTTTGCACTAGATTTTCACACAGATGAAACATGATTTGTCACATCCATGGAGCTATTGAAATTTCTTACAGACTGAGCAGGATGAATTTCAATGTCGCCAACATTTACAACAAGTCAGATTGCTGACAGATACATGTACTTCAAAAGTCAGAAATGTGTACTTTTTGATGTAAACCAAGTGCCGGTAGTTTTAAAAAGCTTTCTGGAAATTTGGGTGTGGCTTGTATGAAAAGAATTATTATTACTTTGTAAAAACCAGCGTATATTTCAAATTTCCGTAAGATAACTTAAAGTGACCGATTTGAATAATTTTTGGACCAAATTGTGTTTGTTGTAGAAGTACTTTTGGTTGTGGATGTTCATTTAAAAAATTCATGGGTAAAAAAATTCATTGTTGACATTCTTTATGCCAATGATTATTCTTTATGAGTATTTCTTATCATAATCTCTTCAATATGTTGACCTATATCTGACACTTTGACCTGTTCGAATTTAGAGGATTAATTTTTTGGCAATGAAATTGCTACTTAGCTGTTACAATTAGCCTTTCAATATTTATCATATATCAGTACATACATGCAAATGTTTTTTTAAGGATAATGGAGGTCCAGTCCATCAACATAGATAAATATGTATTATGTAAATCTGCCTATTGTAGGGTCTTTATTTAGGTCTCAAATGTTATAAAACTATTATTTAGACATTTATTAACATGACAAGCCTATAATCAACTCTCTAAGGCATTGGATAGCCGAGATTTAAATGGATTAGAACAGCCATGAGATTTAAAAAAGTTGCAAAAAATTAGCTTCATAACATTAGCCTACATGTCCGTAAAACATTAGATTAAAATTATTTAAAAACATACTTAGATATTTTAATTTTGTTATTCATGTTTGTAGGTTATTTGTATAGTTTTGGGAAGATTGCTGGACAGACAGTTGCTGATACAGCCAAACAAATTAAATCGACTGTAGAAGAAAAGGTAACAACAGCCTATATTCATAAATTCTGTTTGGGCTTTGTTTTATATTCTTGAAATTTACATGTACATGTACCTTGAAGACTTATATGTATTAGTCTCTGTGAAGATAACCATTCCCTTTTCTGGTATTACATTATTGTTTTGTATAAGTTTATAAACTGTTAAACTGGTACCGGGCATGTTGTTGCTTTATGATAAGTAATTTGAATATTTTGTGAATCCTAAATCTAAACTACATGTAGCTTATAATATGATATTATTTACTTTGGAACTTTCTGGTATTTTAGACTATAATTGGTGATTTTACCAAAGAACAAAATAAGTTTGTAGCAGAAAAGAAAGAGGTTAAGAGACATCAAGAGGCAGCAGTAGCACCATGGGTTGGTTATAATGAAGAGGAGACAATGAGACAACAAATCATGGCTTTGTCACAGGTAAGCATGTTCAAAACTTTCCATAAATTTTCAGTTCCTGTGAAATTACATTTGTTTAAATTTGGGTAACCATTGGGTTAAGCATATCATATGCAATTCTGGGTATTGTTTAAAATCATCATTCTCATAAACAAATATGTTTCTGGCTCTAAAAGTCTTTCTTTGGATGCAAAATGTCTTATCTTGATCAAAAATAGAAGCATTGAATCTCTGTTATGGTTAATTAATATGAATTAAGACTTTGGATTGAAAATAATATAGAACTAAAACAACTTTTCCACCTATTTAATAAATTAAGCTTGCAAAATTTCTAAAAGTACATACCAACTGAAATGGGGTACATAACTGGATTTTTAGAAGTGTGTTTGAAATCAATATTCATCTTACCTAATAGGCCATCTGTGCATTTGTGTAACATGTTATGTGAAATATTTATTGCTATCCATTTTTATAAAATACTAATCTATATTATTAGACTTGATTTTCACAGTTTTGAATTTTTAGAATAATTGACTTTTTTAAAGAATTTATTGATTCGTTATCTGAATTGTGGTGTAAATATTATGTTGTTTATAACATTGTGTAACAAATATTCACATCAAGTTTTATAACCTGTTGTGACACTTCATTTTATGTCAAGTAAGCCATTACTGAAATGACCCGGCATAGACCTTTATTAAAAGAAATTAACCATTAACCTAAACATGACATAGATATACATGTATGATATTAAAAAAAAGCAGTTATCTGATTTACCCATCTTACCCTCAAGAAATGATCTTTTCTTTCTTTTGAAGAAAATTTATTTCACAATAACTCTGATTCCTTGATACCACTATAAATATGTAGAACTGTGTATTATATTAGTTGAAGTCTGTCATTTATTTGTATTATATAATAGATTTGTTTATGTATGTGATTTCTACAATGATGTATTTTATTATTAAACCATTATACCAGATTTTAAAAATCGCACATGACATCAATTATATGGCATTTACAAGCTAAATTGAATAAACATTGTTGCAAATTAAATATGTGCAGTTAAAGTTTACCGAATCCATACTCAAACATATTCAAATGGATTATTTAAAGGGGCATTATGTAAGATTGGATAAAGAGCTGATAGTTCTCACTATAATAGTTAGAAATTAGATAATGAAAAGGGAATATGTTGAAAATTTCAGTCAAAGAACAGTGTAACCTTGATTGTCATTGCTACAGTTGTTAAGATAATAAACAAAGTCTCAATTATCCATTAAATGGCCAAACCGTCCTACCATTCTACTTAAAATCGGAGCCACCCGATGGCATCAAGAGTAGATTATGTCTAATTAATAATCTAAGGCCTAAAGAAAGACCTGCAATAAGCAGATTTAGCTCTTGCATAATGCCTGTTTAACATTTATGTATGAAAACAAAACCAAAATTTAAATGGAAGATAATCTCCCGGCTTGGATTCATTTGGATTAGAAAGGGAGTCTGTCAACAGATTTTACTTAACGCTTATAGGTGGCGCTGGCTTGTTTATACCATTCTGAATGTTAAAATTTTTTCAGTTAATCTGATCATAACTTTATAAATTTGGCTGATGTTTCTTTTTTTAGAGATTCAACTTTTCATAATATTTTAGATTCTCATAAAAATATTTTACCATCTACCTGCTATAAAGACTAATGAACAATACTATAATATAGCACTATAAAATATACATTATAATTAAAGGTTAAGGGCATTGAGCAGTCTAAGATACGCATTAACTTTACATCACCAATCTTATTAAGACTTTGCATACTTCCATCTGTAAAATAACCCAGAGGACACATAACCAGTGATGAAAGTCTTCCGGATTTTCCCGGAATTCCGGATTTTGAGATTTTAGTGAAAATTCCGTAGGATTTTTTTTAAAAAATCAATCTTTCAAAATTAAAAAAACGGATATTCTAAAGAGAAAAATAATGCCCGAAGACGCATACTGTCAATCAAGGTTCCATAATGAGAAATGACACGTGACATCAAAAAGAAACCGATTGACAGAACATAGACGCCCCTTCAACAACAAACTGTTACCTTGTTGTAGTCGTGTGGACAATCTGACTTTTATTGTTAATTGTCAGTAGTAATAATTACAAATTTTCAAAAGAGATGTCGATGTATTTTCGATTATACATGTAGCTTCAATCCATTCAATTACCTGTATTTATTACTCAAATGGTTACTCAATTAGCAGAATGTCAAAATAAAGAAAACACAGTTACACTTACAATATGACTAACTAAGAAGTTATTCGTCGTGATTTCACGTAGTTGTTAGGATTTGGCCGGCCCCCCACCCCACCCGCTACATGTAATACCAATTTGTAACAAGTAATTGTGATTACTGTGTTACGGTAAAACTCGTGTTTGTAGGAATGTGGATTGGATTGTTCATTTTTTTTTAAATCGGTACAGACTTGAAGGTTTGCGCATGCAGAGCGTCTTATGAACAAAATGATGTTTAGTAATCGTATTTGCAGGTGACATATATTGTCAATAAAATCATTCCTTACACCGGTGGTAATTATTTTATGGTATTGTGCACTAACGTCATTCCTTAAATAGCCCCACGCCCCTTTAACAACTTATAAAGCATGATATGATAACAGTCAGACCGTTTGTTGTGTAATGATGGAGTATAGGTGGGAAAAAAAAAATATTTAAAGCAAATGAGGTTTTCCCCAACCTAGATCAGTTCTTGAATAAATTATGACGTCATGGTACATACCAGTCACGTCATCCACAGTAAACTATCCTGGCTGTCTCCAGCAACAGTTTTACTCTGACAATTAACGTCTATCTATATATGATGTCAGAAGGAATTCCGTCTAAAACGCAATTATCCATGTCTGCCATCTATCGCGACTGGAGCATGGCTGAATTTCATTTTTTGATGGTCGAAGACTATCTTTTTTGAATGTATAAAATGATTTTGAGACCGATGGAGTAGTGCATTGAAGTACTTACCTTTTACCTTTTATATCCGAATTGTTGTATTTTAAAACTTGTTGTGGACGTATTCAAAGAATTTACCGAAAATCACAAAATCTTGTTTGAAGGTAAATAATGAACAAAGATTTTAAAATACTTTGAGTAGATATTATTTTAATGTTTTTGGTGTCGAAATGTCGCTTATATTAGTTATAACCTCTACTTTTGATATTAGGGAGGGATTATCGATATCTCTTTTTAGCATGAACTTAAAGAATTTCCAAGATAATTCATCAGCTTTTGGCATTTCCATGGATACCAGACAAACCATGGTTTATACCCAAAAAGTGTCTCTTAAATTTCTTGGACTTGCATTTAGCATTGTTCATGCCAAATTTGATGAAAATCCAAGCAGGCATAACTGAGAAAATTCGACTTTTGTTGTCATCAGCACTCTTTATTATCATGCTTTTGAGTCAAGTTTGGAACATAGTTGATAAATAAAATTGGTATTTTTGTGGTGATTAATATGTAGTTTATCATCCCAAATAACACAATATGTCATATCTTATGAACAAAATTTACAGTGCTAGTTTTAAAATGTGTATTTTAATTTTAGAGTACTCAATGCTCTTAATTCAAATCAAATCAATCATTTCTGTCCTCTAAATAACTGTAAATCTTATTTCTTTATTTAATGCAGGATAAACGAAACTTCCTCAGAAATCCTCCACCAGGTGTTCAGTTCCAATTTGATTTTGAGGCCATGTATCCTATTGCCCTGGCAACTCTTCAAGAAGATTTGAATCTAAAAGAAAAAAGATTTGATTTAGTTCCCAAACAGTAAGTTATAAAACTAATGAGTGTCGATGTGAATTGAAAAAAAGATACGTTTTGCAAAATTTTGATAAATAAAAATGAATAATTTTATGATAATTGTCAAAAGCTGGATTTCTATTAATACTTCAGAATAGTAAAAGGTGATTGTGTGTTGACTGTATTCTTTGATCAAATTTTAATGTAGGCAGATAATTACTGTCATAATTTTGTATGCCCAGTGTCACAGTTTGTATCAGTACTTTGTTTGACTGGACTCGTTATTATGTTTTTAGTAAATAGAAATAGTCTTTAGGCTTTACATTCTTGCAAGTAAAATGGTATGTATATATCAAAAATACAATATAGTACTCAATAGACCAAAGTAGATCTAATTATAAGTAAAACAGAAAAAAAAACCCCTCAAAATGAAACATTTATTATACTAATTATAAACTGTTAGGTTATGGAAAAATTCTCTATCAGAATGTTTCATAAAGACAATGACAATATCGGTGCACAACAGGATTAGTAAACTTTCAATTGTAAACTGATGCTGTTTTACTCAAGTCCCATGCACAAAGAATCGAGTAAAAACATGATATTGGTTCTTTCCTACCCCAAGTATGGGATGGCATATACAAGATGACAAGTTGTAGAGATGAAATGAAAATTTAAAGTACTGTTCACAAATAGGTAGTTTAAAATTTCCTATATCAGTTAGAATATTCATTTGTGTTGCAATACATTTATATCAGTACCCAGATTAAAACTATAAACCTTTCAAATGGTATAACATTTTTTTTTTTTCTCACTATTTAGGGTATCAGAAGAAACATTCTGGAGGAATTATTTTTATCGAGTTTCATTAATCAAGCAGTCCACACAACTGACATCTCTTGCTCAACAAACAGGTTAGTTATTGCATGAATATCCAGTAATTTATAGAACAACTGATTTCTCCCAATGTCTTTGATGATGCACAAACCACATGTACATCGTCCACAATCGTGATGTAATTGTCATTTTGACATATCTCTATGGTTACCATACAGCTCATTCCTGCCACTTTCCAAACCAATTATGATGTTTTTGGTTTATTTAACTGATATAACATGTTAATTAGAATACATAATTTTGAATATCTATACATCAGTACCTCACACGAAGGGGAGTAAGTCTGTTTGGCACATTGAGATACCAAATATTGGATGAAAAACAAACAAGTCATTTCTTAATTGAGTAGCTTTGATCATTGAGGACGAATACATACATATATACATGTTTATCTCCCAATAACACATTCTCAGGAGATATATATTTTTACATGAATTTGCTGGGTCAATATAAAGGATTTTGCAATGGTTGAATTGATGTATCACTATCCCGTAATATAATCAGGTTCAGTGAAAGTGAAATCTATAGCAAAGAATTATATTTATCTATTTGTGCATGAAGGAAAGGATTGGGTGATAAATAGAATCTCCTACTCGTCTTTTTTGATATCAAAAAATATCAACACAAGTTGATAAAGTAAAAAAATGAGGCTTCGTCGAGTAGAAGACACACTGATTTGTGTATTCATGATTTGGTTAGTGATAATGCAACCTCTGTACAAGAAAAAGTACCGGTAGATATTATTATATTTGAAACATCAACAAAATCCTGGCTGGATTGAATTATATTTATTGTATCAAATTATGATTGATCAACAAGCATTTAATTTAACAACTTCTGTGTAATAAATTAAAAAGGGATTTACGAGAGAGCCATAAATTATAGTAACTATTTATATCATTGACAACTGCAACTACATGTAAGTGTGTCACTACTGAGAGCTAACCGGTTTGTTGTGTTCTATATTGAGGGAATCTTGTGCATCAAGATTATACTACAATACGTATAGGTTTGGGGCTGTTTCGTTCTCAATTATCCTAAAAGTAAATTAGTCTCTAAATCAGATGAGGTTTTTCAACATGTGTGTTTATTTCCAGGGTGAATATTGCACTCTGCTTGTAATTGAGTTCATAATATATGCATATTAATTATTAGTAACCAGGTCTGATTTAGAGAGGTTTAAGATTAGCTTATTAAACAATTAACACAATAGCTTTAATTAGACAGCTGGACCAGGTCCACACATTAATTATAATGTGGGAGTTTTCATTTTTTTGAAAATCCCTGTATCACAAAACTAGCAAACGACATGCTTCGAAACTACTTGTATATATACTCTTCAAAAAAAGTAGGGGATATTGAAATGAAAATACCTATGCAGGTTGTGATATGATAAATAGTCATGCACACTTGACATGCTTTGAGAGTATGTTCACAGATGAAAAACTTATCGCCCCAACAGAACCACTGAGCTGCAAGTGCCATACGAAATAGTGCCATACACGTGGGAGGGGTTCATTGTCAAATTTGACACTTCAAGGAAGGGTTGATGAAAACTGCTGTGTGCTGGTTTATCCTATCCATGTTTGCTTTCGTATTGGTTCTTGCATGATTTACTGTTTAGCATATCTTTGCTTTAGTGTGTTACGTTTAATTTGCAATGAGACGTCTTCAACATGATGAACGTCTACGTGCTATTGACATGCTTCAAATGGGTTCTACACAGCGAGCAGTCGCCAACATGCTTAATGTGTCACAGTCTGTGATCAGCAGACCAACAAACACACAATGTTGGTAGACCTCGTTCAGGTCGTACTAGAGCCACTACACAAGCCCAGGAACGATACATTCGTACATAGGTCCTACAAAATCGAGGACAAACGGCCAATCAGCTTTCTATAAACTTGTACCAAGTTACAGGAATTCGAGTTACAAATGATTAGAAATCGGCTACATGCAGCCCATTTGCATGCGTGACGACCGTGTGTTGTGCCTCCATTAACTCGCCAGCACATGGCAAACAGGTGTCAATGGATTTCACCGATAAGCGTGCTCGCGTTTGGAGGCGTGTAAATGAGCGTCATGCTAACGTTAACATCAGACAGCATGGTGTGGGGAGGAATCCCCATGACTGGCAGAACAGAGTTGCATATTGTTCAAGGAAGGGTCACTGGTGTGTACTACCGTGACCACATCCTGGCACAGATAGTTCTGCCCTTTCCTCAACGTGCAGGTCGACGTTTCATCTTTCAAGATGATAATGCCCATGAGTCCTGACCTTTCCCCTATAGAGCATGTCTGGAAATGATCGGAACACGTGTTCGTCAACATCAACTGACAACACTGCAAGAATTGGCCGTTGCACTGCAAGAGGAGTGGGTAGGATCGCCCCAAATTGTGATTGGGCGGTTGATTAGGAGCATGCCACGGCGAATTGCTGAATAACTGAGGATTGGTCGAGCAATTACTCATTATTAAGACAAAAATCAAAAACGTCCATTTTCACTTTTGAGGGTATATAAGCAGCCGAATTCATCACTTGTCCTTGTACCCGGCCCAAAAGCAATATAAGTATGGGAATAGTAACTATTCCGATTATTAGCCGGGAAAAGTAGCTTTTCCGCCATGCTAATAAACTATATTTAATTTTGGTTTTTATTTATCGATAATTTAAGAAGTATTTAAATGTTGTGATTCAGTTATGAATTTTAGGGGCTTATATAGTTAGCATTTAAAGTGGCTTTCTGCATTTTCAAATATTACTGCACTTTTGGTTCGATTTGTTTTGTACCCGTCGATCATTGGTGTGGACCACTCTCGCGAAGTGATTCTGCAGAGTTTTTTTTTACTTTGTGGACTTTTGTCTGCATTCAGCTGATTCGGTTTTTCATGTCATTTTTATTGTGCGGACTTAGTGCAAACCGATTCGTATGTAATGACTGCCTCCCGTCTGAATTTTTTCTTGCGTGGCGCGAAATCAAGCATTTAGGACGTGGCCTTGGAACTTGAAGCCCATTTAAGTTGTTGGGGATAAACTCCTTTATTTATTCATCTATGTATTTATTTATTTATTATACAGTTGTCAGAGGTTACAATTTGTTAAATAAAACTTTTTGAATAATAAATAAGCGTTTTGTTTTCTCTGAATTGACGTTTGGGGCAAATCATTGAGCATCCAGTATACGAATCCCTGCTTCTTCTGAACCTACATTTTTGTTTATAAGTCCCAAGACACAACTTTTTTTGTTGGGCTTGCCCTCATACTACATATTGGCGAGCCTCGTAAGATACATTTTTGCCAGACATAAGCCCCTTCTACTACAATAACATAAGAGTATAGTTTAAATGAGCTTAGATATATATCTCTAGCTAGACGTTTAGGTAATTGAAACAATGAAATTAATTTACAAGCAGTCAATCAAGCTTGAGGGTTAGTTAACGTCTATAAGTTAATAACGAATGAACATGGTGTAGTAATAATAAAATATATACTAAACTTTAAATACTTATAATTATTTCACAATTAATGTTGTATGTGCATTCGTAGAGTTATAATTTACTCTATCACACTACACATATATCTGATTATATATGTGAATATGTAACTTTTAGTCTAAGTCATTATTGACTTTTAAGTTTTGATCAATATTCAGTTCTTTATTTCTGTAAGTCTACTGACTCATCAGATAACATGCATACATATTACAGCTACATACAAACAATATATTACAAGTAAATACAAACAAACGTACAAAAGAAGGGCCAGGGGTGGGGCTGGTTGAATAAGTTATATTAAAAACATACTGTAGTCAAGGTTAGATAATAAATACAACACAAACATTGAGATGAAATGAAATGGGGTTTAACATCCTACTGTTCTGTTCTGACTGGGGTAATGAAGATGGGCATGCATACACCATACAATCTGCTATGAGGGGAATTTTGCCCAGGCACTACAACCTACTCCTATATCGAATTCCTGTTGCCAAGGGATCTTTTACATGCCAATTGCCAATCTGTACACAGGACTTTGGTTTGCCGTCCAATACGAACGACTATACGTTGTCCCATGATCAGAACCTGAACTTTCTCGGCCAACACAGGACCTCCAGTTTAGCAAGCCAACGCCTTACTCACTGAACCACCATTGGCTCAAAAAAACAGACATGACATAAAACATCAGTATACAAACATGATAATATAAATGGTATTACATGTATTATACACTTTTACGGCATTTATTATAGTAACAAGTAACATTACATTTGGTGTTACGGCTCATTTGATATAGTGGTTCTTTTCCTATATGCAGAAATGAGAAATTGTGAATACTTTGATGAAATGTTTCCCTGAATCATAAATTATCAATTAATATTATTTTGTAGGAAGTACTGGTGAGAGTCGTTCATCTAGTAGTTCAAGAAGATCATCAACTGGAAGTGAAAATAAAGGTCAGTATATTCATAGTTGAATTAAAGATCGACTCTAAATTAAAAACAGTGTTTGACATAGCGCCAGCTTGTAGACCAATAGCCAGTTGTAGAATAAAGAACACATTTCTTTCGCATTTGAGATTGTTTAATATGTGCATGCGCTAAATACAGTTGCAGAGGTGGCAAGTCGACTTCAATTTTGGCAAGAATATTGAAAGGAAATGAACAATAATTACCTAACAATGACAATGTTGTAATTTATAAGTAACTGAGTTGATAAATTCACTTCAAGTTCTTTATAATTAATACTGTGTATATAAGCAGGTGGTGATATATAAACAAATAAACTGTCTTGTGGCAATTATGAACTTCTTTTAGAACTGTATTAAATGCATTTTGTTAACATTAACATGATAAAGAGGGTGATAATACATGTGTATTGTAATTGTTAACAAATCATTATAGCATAAATGAGAACACACTGCTGTGTTGAAGGACCTGTGCTGACCATGCAAAAGACTTCTATACTTGATAGTCTAACATCATTGCTTACAGACCAGATGTTGGTTTCCAGACTAACAAGACTGATTTTACAGAGCTTGTTCCATGACAAATAAAAAAACATTGGTTCAATACAATTCAACATTTTATTTCAACCTAAATCAAATTGCTCTTTGAAATCAATTTAAAAAAAATTCTGCAATCTTTGCAATTTTAATACTATTGTTTGTTAAGATCTACAACGTTTAATTTTCTCACAATCATCAATCTGACTAGATCTTAAATTCTTCCTAGAAGTATACACAGCTTTATTCATAATAGACAAGTAGTCTTTTGAAGATATAATTATTGGAAAAATTGGAAAATACAACAATTCGACTTGTTTGCTGTCTTTACTTAAACAATATAAAATATGGCAACTCTGTTCTGAAGCAGGCCCCATTACTTTTCTTTTTCAAGAGGGATTCTTTTGCTATGTAATTTCAATATCATACAGTTAAAGGACAATATTGGTGTCAGTCATTATATAATATGTGATAGAGCTTGTTAAATACATCCCAAATTTAATTTTAACACAGAGATCATTGCTACGGGAGTTGTGTAACAAGCACGTGAAGAAACGGGAAGTGACGTAACATGACAAACACGAGTTGTCCTTCTATATAACTGACTGAAGTAACGAACGGTAACAGACAAGCGATCGAATTTCATTTCACTGATAATTCCGTTGAAGATGAAAAGTTGTTATATGAGACGATGAGAGGATATCTGACAATTCAAAAAAAGAATTGTCTGTCAGTAGATAAAAGATAACGAACAAAAATTAGAAAAAGTCTGTGCATTACCATGTTTTTTATTAAGAACAGAATGAATAAAAACGGGGGAATGCACAGGATTTTTCTACTTTTTCTCGTGTCCCTTATCTAGTGATAGCCAATTCTATTTTTGAATTGTGAGATACTCTCTCACAGTCCCATATAATAACTTTTCAACTTCAATGGAATTATCAGTGAAATGAAATTCGATCGTTTGTCTCTTACCGCTTGGTACTTCAGTCTGTTATAGAAGGACAACTCGTGTTTGTCATGTTTGGCGTCACTTCCCATTTCTTCAAGTACTTGTTACACGTCTCCCGTAGCAATGATCTCTGTGTTAAAATTATATTTGGAATGTATTTAACCAGTTCTATCACATATGTAATAATGACTGACACCAATATTGTCCTTTAAGAGTGACAGTTATGAGCTGAATCTATATAGACTGGTTTGGTTTTCATGTATATGTATGTATGAGTGTCATCCTATATGGCTGTCTAATTCTTCTGGTCTTTAATAAGCCACTTAATCTTAGCCTCTATATTCCAACTTTGTAATATTTAATTTAAGTATAGCATAAGAATTCAGTTACAAAATAAAATATTTTAAAACCATTCTATACTTACAGAAAACATAACCACATCCTTTTTGGTCATCTGTTAACTAGCAATTACCTAGTTATCAAATTTCAATACAATCTAATACAAAGTTATTTATTAAAGAGATCGGATCAAAAAAACTTTTTCACTATAATACTAATAGTTTAACAATCAACCTATTTCATTGTTGTTTTTAGGACAAAATATTAATAATCCTGCTGCATAATGTTATGTTAAAGAAGAATTATGCTAGATTTAGAGAAAGATCTGGCTGTTCTTCCTACAGTAGTTATAAAATAGATAATGAAAATTGTATTGAAAATTTCAGTCACATTACTTTATTCTGAGCGAAGTTATGAATGGCTGCTTTTATCGGGTTTCAGACAGCGAATGTAATGTAATCTGTATTACTTTCAATCCAAATAAGACTTGTAATTTATAAGAATAGAAAGCTGTGTATAACTCTTTATGTCAGGCCTTTTATTGTCTTGCGTGGTCAAACAAGTGCTTAATGCAGGTAAAGCTGACATTGTCTATTCCACTTAATAATCCAAGCCATCCGATGATCTAGAGAGTTGATCATGGTGAATAAATGTCTAACTAAATGATAATTTATATAACATTTGAAGCCAGGAAAACACTCTGTCATAGGCAAATTTAGCTCTAACATAATGCCTTTATATCTGTTTAATAGGCTGGGTAGATTTAAAAGGTAAACTATTTTGAATGCTTATAGTTGTAGTATAAGTAATGTTGGGTTTATTGGATTATTTTTATATATTTCTACAAGTTTTTATTACGTGTATTATAGACTGGCTGTTGGATATATTAAATTTATTAGAGTACTATGTTATCTATTCTATATGCTTTAATACATAGAACTGCATGCCATAAGAAGCTTGAATCTAACTATTAATCTATCTGCCTTCAGTTACTTTTGTTTTTAAGATTACTATTGTTAATAATCTTGCTTTCTAATGCAGTAGTAGTACCTTTCTTGAATTGAATGGTGAAAGGTTTGCATTGCTAAGCTGTGAGTTCAATATCACATGGCAAGGAGTAGCCTTTTCTGCTTAACCTCTCAAGTCTTTTCCTCCAAAAAGGGCCCTTTGCATATTTATCAAATAAACATATTCCATAATATGTTAGTTTAGAAATTGCCTTATTGTGTGAAGTATATTAACGCTTGTTTCCTTTTTTTTTCTTTTTTTTTTTCATTTACGAGTAAATAATTATTCATATCCCTTTTATTTAATGGATAAAAGCAATAGCTTATCCATATCATCTGAGGTTTATGGTTAGACAGTCAAAATCCATGCTATAATAATTTTCTTCAAGAAGGCTTATGGATTTTGGATAAGCTTATATATATTTATTTAACTCTACTCATTAGTGTAGGTCTGTTTGCAGTATTTCATTTTTAAATGTTTGATCTCCCATTCTTACCTTTTATCAAATAACGTAGACAAAATGTTGGAAATGAATAAAACCAAATAAATTTTTAAGAAAATAGCTAAATTATCCCCCTTTGATTGAAAAATCGTTTAGACATTTGTATCTTTTGACAGAGTATAATCCAACAAAACCATTAACATCTATCATTCATTAATTCTAATGTATAAAAACTTTCTTTATCTTGTCTGTCTTACCGTAAATATATTTTTGAATGTGTCATCTTCCATTCTTTGATGACAAAATGTTGTTGGAGATGGATAAAACTAAAATATTTTGTAAGAAAGTAACTAAATTATCTCCCTTGGATTGAAAAATCGTTGAGAAGTTTGTATCTTTTGATAGAGTAGTTAATCCAACAATATCATTTTTGATATATTATGATGTGTAAAAACATTCTTTATCTTGTCTGTAAATATATATTTTTTTAAACTTGCCTATTCATTATGCCATGGTTGTGGAATCTGTTCTCTATAAGTAGGGAGTTGGATGGCCGAATGGTTAGTGCGTGCACGTTGTATCATAAGGTCTGTCATTGAGTCTACTCATGTGGTTTGGATTACCCGGTTGTACTTTTTTAAAAATATATTTTTTCTGTTTTTTTTAAATAAATTTCTCAATGTTCTATATACTGTATTCTCTGTGAATAGGTATCTAATTGTACTGTATCTCTCTGTATTATTTGTTCTGTTATTGTATTAATGTACCGTTATCCTTCACTGTCTGCAGAATCAAGTTGGCTTTATAATACGAGACAATGATAATGTTGCTTGAAATAATCAAAAATATTAAAGTAACACAACAACTTTTATTTACCATAGAAGAAATATGAATTTATTAATTGTTTATTAATATCAATTTTAGGCCATGCAATAAAAAATATTCTGGTTCTTGTACGTCTTGGTCTACGGACATTGGCACACATTTTGTAGTTCCATCGCAAAGTCCCACAGAGTATGATTTCTTTCTCATTACAACACGTAGAATGCACTAGAAATTAAGCAGATGAATTTATAGTAGCCATTTCCTGGTAATTATGCATCTTTTTATGATTATCCAGTGTCATATCATATATATAATTGTCGATAACATTTATTGAGTTTTGTAGTTGATAACTGAGCCCACTGTATGCATGTACTTTCAACTGGAAATATTTTTATAGTGTTACTTCTGCCCTTTACTGCATGAAGTATGAACATGTGTAATTATTGAGAACGTTTATTTTTTTAGATTTTGCTATTTATTTACCCAAACATTCATGATGAGACAGCCCTTATTGTTTATTTAGCATTTGAAATATAATACATAAGAGAATGGAAGACATCCTTTAAATCTTTTGTTTTCTCAGCCATAGATCACCTTTGCTTACAATTAAACTAGAGCTAGGACACCTGATATGCACTTTTAATAACAGATAATTATCAATTACATACAGCTATAGAATATATTAAAACACTTCTATTACACATATTATTCACATTTCTTCGTTGTCTGATTCACATAGTGTACTTTTAGTAGCTTATATTATTTAAGGTGGCAATCCCTGCCGTGCATGTTTCAGATAATATCTAATTTTTCACGGGTTAATCCATGCTAAAATCTACTTAGTTTGATTATTTAACTTAGAATTTAAAAAAACAAATTATCAATGGTAGATAATCCACCAGCTTGGAATCAGTTGGATTTAAAAGAGGCCCATCAAAATATTATACCCAAAACTTATAGGTAACACTGGCTTGTTTATATTGAGTGCAGATTAATATGCCAAATGTTACCGAATTTTCAATTTATCCTGAATTTGTACATACTGAACTATTTTTGGACTGGTATACTACAATATCGGTACTCAAATTATGATCAGCAACTTTTAAGAGAGATATTGAGTCAAGAAATACTGGACAATTTGGTTTTAAAATTTAAGAGTTGTTATCTGATGCAGACATGACCTAAGACCATTAGCATCGAGGATGATTTCGGTGAACCGGGTTTTGAAGTGTTTTGTTTATTTCCAAACATTGATAGGGTATAGTGAATCTCGAAAGCAGGGGTCTATTAAAATGGGTCTTTACAGCTGTCTGTCTGTCCCTCACAATTTTTGGGAAACAATAACTCTACTTCTAATTGAGCTAGAATGTTCAAACCTGGTGTAGTTTGGAGTCAGACATATCAACTACCAAAGATGTAATTATAATTCAGAAATTTCTGTTTTGAGTTCCAATAAATATATACAATACATAATGTTTGTGTTCATGAGGCAAGTAATCCGATCATGTTAGTCGAGTGGTTAGTACACTGGACTCCCACAACAAGAATATCTCTGGTTGAATCAAGGTGTTGGTCTAGAAGATCCATGGGAAATTTTGTCAGGGGTGTGGCATGCGAGGGGTTTTCAAGAAAAGTATGTCTATTCCTTCGGATATGACGAAAATCCAAGGTCCATATATTTTAATATTGGGGTGCAAATAAAAGAACCCTTGACAGTTGGAAATGGATGAAGAAAAGACAGAAATGTTGCTCTCTGGGCAAAATTAATTTCATAGTGCACATAATATAAACATAGAAAAAAAAATATATGTTATTCACAAAATGGCCAAAGTATTGTGTCCTATCGTGTCCTGGTCTTTATAGGTTGGGCTTAGTAAATGTAATTTTATTATAATGAGTTGTCAGATTTGATTGTTAAATATATAGTTCTCCCACAGCCTCCATCTTTGCTGATTTGAAGTAGGTAGTAGGCCTACTGTTCATTTGATTTGTTGAATTTTTCACATTCTATTGGCGGGGAGATGTTATTTATGTTTGTCATTTGAAATGTCAGTAATGTCACCCGAGTTAAATAAAGCAGAATTAGACTTGTGTGTTAAATATCACGTAGTCTACCGTTAATTGAATATGCCAGTGTTCCATAGAGATCGACTGTCTATCCCCTACAAAAATCAATGATGTGAAACTGTACATGTAGTAGACCCAACTGGTTACATTTAATAATGCTGTGTTGCTGATGTAAACCTACGCACTGTGTGTATCATTACTATTTATTCAGATTGCTGATTATACACAAAATATTCCACGGTTTATACACAACAAAATATTCCACGGTTATACCCACTTTTTAAATGTCATGACAAAGAAATGCATGACATTGTTCATGTTAACTGAGCCATACTGTCAATTCAATTATAAAGTCTTGGAGCCGCTAGGAGTATAGTGTGCCTATTGGCTGACATTTAGGTGAATTAAGTCGATAAATCTATTTATATATTATAGGTCAGTAAGACATTATTTGTTGTTGTTTTGGACTTGAGAGGGTCAAGGTCACAATAAATTTATAAATTAAAAGTATCTTTGCCAGATTTTCTTACTATTATATAATGTAATCCAGCTAAGCTTATCTGACATTGATCTGTTTATATTAACATTTTTATTCATGGCTGATTATCTTCTTTCATGTTACAAAAATATTTCTGTCTATTCTGTCATTATTTATGTATCGCAGCACAACGAAAGCCTTAGTAGATTATGAAGGTGAAATACAAGTAACAATTTCTGCTGATAGTTTAAAGTTATACGTCCACATGAAAATGTGGGCGTATAGGTCTATCTCCCAAAGATCTCGGCTCATTTCGATATTGGCATGTTTTGGACCATAACTTCATGGATTATGCCCCCTGATTGTGCGAAAAATCACGTTTTTAGCTTGTGGACACTCTAGATGTCACAATTTACATCCGATTTTGATGAAACTTGAAATGCATGTTTATAACCCGAAGATCTTGGTTCCTTTTGTTATTCGTCCATATTAGATCGTAACGTCCTGAATTATGGTCCTTGATTGTATGCAAAATCAAGTTTTTTGCTTGTGGCCCCTCCAGAGGTCACAATTATTATCCGATTTAAAAAAAAAAGCATTCAAATATATCACCGTTACACGGTAGTGGTGGGTGAGTTTGAACGCAAATAGTGTAAATATATGAAATATCATGGTTGTGGATCCGATTTTGATAAAACCTTAAATTTATATCACAACTATCTTGGTTCCTTTTGATAATCGCGCATATCCGAACGTAACTTTCTGGATTATGGCCCCCGATTGTTCGAAAATCGCTTCTTTTTTTTAGCTTGTTCTCTATCCATCTCTTGCAAAATGTGGGTGTATCTTGACTGACAACTGCTGTTTAGATTTGTGTACAGCCCATGATAAGATGGGTCTGTCTGTCTGTCGGTCCGTCCGTCACACTCTTTCAGACACAATAACTCCCC